TCCAATTTTGGGGAAAAGGAGAACTGGCAGCAAGAGGAAGAACAAAGTAGGGGAGAGGTGGGCCGAGTTGAAGTACACTCGGTCTGGCCTCATGGCCTGTCCTTTTCTGATCTTCCATTGTGCAGGCCGGCTCAGGCTATACTGGCATCTGTCGTGGTCTTGGCCTTACCCCCAGCAGATGGTGTGATGGCCTCTGTCTCAGAGGTGAGGGGTGAGCACTTGCAGCTGGGCTGATGGGAGTGCAAATGGGGCTGGGGCACCTGAGGACAGGTGACGCCCCAGCATTGCCACTTAGCCACTCAGAGATTAGGTAGGAGAGTGAAATTCTGAGTCAGGGCTACATACCCAATCATATGAGTCTGCCTGTCTGAAAGTGCAGGTCCGAAGCACATGAGCCTGCCTGTCTGAAAATGCAGATCTGAAGGCCTTGAACTGGAGAAGGGGGGATGTGGCTGGGACAGGAGCCTGACCCCAGGACGTGGTGGATGCAGGATGAAACCAGGGTAAGTGAAGGGGCGGCTCCGCTAGCTCCCTGGGAGATGAAGTTCTTTCCCAGAGGCGGACAGGTGAGGACAAGCCCTGGGGCTGACCCTGCCCAGTGGTGCTGGAACCAGAGGGAGCCCAAGTGGGCGTGGCTCTGCCTTGGCTGGATGGTACATAACATACTTCTGTCACAGCTGGTCACTCTGTACCACTTAGTGATAACAGTCACGTGATTGATGACCGGGATAAATCAGCTTTGTAAAAAAAATATGCAGACAGACCAGTCTTGGTCACAATCTTTGCTGTCTCCCTATGTGGGAGAGCAGAAACCTACTGCCACATGGTATTGGGGAGGGTGGCCAAAAGGGAACTAATGGAGTGTGCTGGGCATTCTTAGAATAGTTTTTTTTCTTTTTTAAATTAATTAATTTGGCTGCTCTGGGTCTTCATTGCTTCATGTGGGCTTTTTCTAGTTGCGGAGAGTTTGGGGGCTACTCTCTAGTTGCTACGCTCAGTCTTCTCATTGTGGTGGCTTCTCTTGTGGAACACGGCTTCTAGAGCACATGGGCTCAGTAGTTAATGCACATGGGCTCAGTAGCTGTGGCTCCAAAGCACAGGCTCAGAAGCTGTGCAAGGGCTTAGTTGCCCCCGGGCATGTGGGATCCTCCCAGACTGGGATCAAACCTATGTCCTCTGCATTGCAAGGCGGATTCTTAACCACTGGACCACCAGGGAAGCCCTGTACTGGGCATTCTTACAAACCACCATGATGCACAGGTTCACAGAGCAAACCCCTCACCCCACCTCCTCTCATCTACTATCCTCCTCAAAGTGTTAGGACGGAGGTGCTTCCTTCCAGCCTGCACTCTGTGTGCATGCGGGCACACACGCTATGTATGTTCACCTGGGCCTCAGAGCACACTGTTCTGCAGGCCGCTCTTCTCACAGTCTGACATGTCTGGGCTGGCACACACACCATGTGGGCAGCAGGCTGAGCCTGGTCCTTAGAGTGTCCAAGTCTGTGAGGAAACAACACAAAGTGAGGAGTTTTGAAGTAATTTGGAAGGGCCACATTTTATTGTACTTGACAAAATAATTATCCACAGTGGACTGGAGTTGAAGGGGGAAAACAGGCTGTCTCTCTCATTTGAGAAGCACCATGCAGAGATGGTGCCCAATGGGGATGTGGGAGACCCGTGGGCATGCAAGCAGCCCACATGCTCTCTTTTTAAAAATTTTCTTACTTATTTTTGGCTGTGCTGGGTCTTTGTTGCTGTGAGTGGACTTTCTCTTGTTGCAACGTGCAGGCTTACTGCAGTGGTTTCTCTTGTTGTGGAGCACAGGCTCTAGGATGCATGGGCTTCAGCAGTTACGGTGTGTGGGCTCAGAAGTTGTGGTTCATGGGCTCCAGAGTGCGGGTTCAAGATTTGTGTGGCAGGGGCTTAGATGCCTCGTGGCATGTGAAGTCTTCTTGGGCCAGGGATTGAATCCATTTCCCCTATATTGGCAGGGGGACGGGACCAGCAGGGAAGTCCACCCCACATGCCCTCGAGGGTTAAAGCAGCATCCATGGTCCGATTCCAATGTCCCAAAGATGGACCCCTAGACCTTCCCAATTGCTTTCTTACGTAACAAAAAACACTGCCAAACATCCTTGCATATGCATCTTTTTCAGATTTGTGAGAAAATATTTTAAAAAGATCTCTAGGGGAAGATTTGCATATTCAAAGGGTATGATAATTTTAAAAGTTGTGAGATGCAGGCAAACTGCCCTCTGAAAGGCTTCACCAATGACAGCTCTTGCCATGAGACTTTTTAGTCTGGGCGTAAACTCGACGCTGACTTACTTGCCCTCTTCAGACTCCTGCAGAGGCATGTGGCATCCACATCCTGTCACTTCTGGGGATTTTCTCCTAGACGCTCCATCCAGCACTTTGCTTGCCATCAGTGGATGCCCAAGCTGGGTACTGATTCTATCTGTCAGGTATGTTGCAAATATTTTTCCCATCTGTTATTTGTCTCTTATCTTTGTGTACGATGTCTTTTCCTTACAGATGTTTTAGGATGTGATGACGTCAACTCTGTTATTTTTGCCTTTCCCACTTCTAGGTGGTTTTAGACTTTTTTTTACCATTATTTAGGGAAGCCTTCCTCATACAAAGGTGAACTGAGCCAGTGTGCACAGCGAATGGGGAAAAGGGCGGTTGGAGCAGAATCCCACATCCCTACACATACAGAAGTCTTAGGAAATGAAGGAGCAATAACCAGAGATGCAGATGAAAATAGTTACAGGCCACTATGTGCTGCTCTATGGCAGTACTAGAAAGACTAGGGACTTTGGAGAGATTTCCAGCAAAATGCACATGTCCAGAATTGATCCAAGAAGAGGCAGAAAATCCATACAGACAGATCACCAGAGAAGAAAACCAGAAGAGATTACTAAAAGTCTACCACTAATGAAAACACCAGGCATGGAAGGCTCTACTGCCGAGGTCTCTCTAACTTTCAGAGAAGGCTGCAAACCTGGCTGCCAGGGATGTGTAGCTTTCTCTGACACTGGGAGGCACAGGAGGGCAGGTCCGGCAATGGAGGATCTGCTCCTTCGTTGGACAGGTGGGCAGATGGATGGATGCGGGGTAGATGGGTTGAGAGATGTGTGAATGTGTCAAGTGAGTGGATGCTGGATAGAGAGACAGGTGAATGACACATATTTGGCTGTGAGACCAGCTGATTAGACAAGGAACTCACCATGAGGGGAAAGACAGGTTCCCTGGAATAAAAGGTCAGAGGGGGAGGGAGGCATGGCTGTGCCTCGGGGGCTGGGAGGGCACCTGAGCAGTGGCAGGGCTTGGCACAGAGGCCAAGGTCAAGGAGAAGCAAGGTTCAGAGGTGGGAGGGAACAGAGTGGAATTAAGAAATGGAGCCATAAGTGCTGAAGGCCATGAAATGACAGGCGTGTAGGGCGGGGAGCACGAGTACACGGCATGGCCTTTAAAAGTAAAAACAGGGTTTTTAGTGAACTTGGCAGAAGATGGTCCAGAAGTGCCCCTAAGGAACAAGCAAAGCCAAACCTTCCCCTTCAACTTGTGGAATAGAAGGAGGACTGAATGGAAGGAGGGCTTTGTCAAACGGGTTCCAAGGGAAAAAGCCAACTCCCGTGAAAGATGCCCACTGTTGCTGCTTGCACACTGATGACATCTAGAAATACACTGAGCGCTGCTCACCCTTCTATCAGGGGTGGGTTCTTAGAAGGACAAAGCCTCTGAGTTTAAGTCTCGCCCAGGTCCCCTACCCACAAAAGGTGGATGTGTACAGCAGTCTCCAAGTATAACTGGGGATCATTTTACATGGACGGTTTGGTTTACCTCTGTATCCCAGGCGCCTGGCACATAGCAGCCACTCAGCAAGATGCTTGCTGAAAACACAAGTGACTTATCTGCTCCGCCTTGGTCTTCCACACCCTGTCCCCTCAGTTCCACTGTCTCCTTTGTGCTCCTGAGTCCCACTTCCCATCACTTGGTAATTTCAGGAGTCAACATATTAAGGCTAAATAGTAATATATTCAAAACAACTATTCTCATTCACGCAGGTATGTGCTGGGGAGAGACCAGTGTGGATGTTCTGTCCCGTCTCCTCCCCTTCAGTGGGAAGTGCTTTCTGGACACTGCAGTGGTTGGGGGTTAGAAGGACCCGGGAGGGAAGCCAGGGCTCTCGTTAGTCGAGAGAAACATTTTGTGGATACCCTGTTGCTCTGAGCTCTTTACAGGCATGCTGGGGCAGTCTGCCTCCAATAGGAAATGCAAGTCAGGGACTTTGCTCCTAAAGTAGGTGAGCTGTAGTGGAGAGAGGGGTGGTTTAGTTTCACATCAACAACAGGGTGAAATCCCAAAGACCCCAGATTTGGAGATCATCATAGTTACTCAAAGCTGTGGCTGGAAAAGGACAGAGGCAGGAGCCACAGAAGGTGAGGGGGAGGCTGCAAGAAAGGGGCCGGCGCCTTAGCTGCAGGAAAACCAAGGGGCTTAAAAGCAGGGAGGCTGGTGCACCGAGATTCTGGGAGAGGCCCAACATCTAGCAGCTCTAGTGGGTTAACTGTGGGACCTCAGGCCCGGCCCATGGGTCCCTTTCTCAGGAACCAGCACCCAAGACCCCCACGACGGGCAGCCTGGGCGTCTGCAGCCCACGGTCCAGGCCTTGGCCTCGCTGCACACACTGCTGCCTTTATCCTGAGGAGGCCAAGCCTGGGAGCTGGCCTGGGAACACGGCAGCCTTTGCTGCCACCACAAAGCCGCATAGAAACGCCAGCTGCTTCGCTAACCTGTGGCATTTTTCTCACAAAATGCTGCCAGAGGGGTGGGTTCACGGGACTCCCACCACAGAGATCAAGCTGAGTCCTGTCTGTTCTCCCTCTGTCCCCACCCCCAGCCTGGGCTGGGCCTCCCCTCTCCGTGCAGCCCTCCCCTGCACCCTGCACCTCCATCCCCAGAGCAGGGGCGGAGTAGGGGGGAACAACCCACCGGTGAGGTGACCCAGCTCCGCTCGCAGCCGGTTCCCCAGCTCCAGGAGCTGCTCCTTCTCCAGGCGCAGCCGCAGGATCTTCCTGGCAGCCTCCTTTAGCTTCCTCTGGAGTCGGGGCACAGACAGGACCTGCAGGGGCTGTGTCCCATGGTCCTCTGTCCCCGCAGGTCCCCCGTCTGCAGGAACCTGTGAACAAACCCACACGGCAGAGACCATCAGATGAGCCTGGGGTTGGTGGGGGGGAAGGAGGAAGTGGGAGTGAGGGTGCGGACAGCGGGAGCCACTGCCTGACCAACTGTCCCAGAACCCACACCACTGGGTGACGTCCCTCCAACATGACGCATCCACAGCAGCCTTCGCTCTCATTGGGGGTGGGGGGAGGCGGCGGGAAGTATGTGATGATGGTCCTCAAAGCTCCCAGGCCAAGGCTTGCCTGCCCTTGCTTACTCTGTGGCTCCCGCACCCCCTCACCGCCACCACCTTTGTGTCTTTCCAGGGAAGACAATGAGGAAGCAGCCCAGGCCCGGGACCCATGAGGGCTACACATGTGATCACCACCTCCTCTGCTGGCCCCTTTGTCATAGGCTGGGTGCCTGCTGTCTGTCTGGTGTGGAAGGGGGCCGGTGGAGAACCGAAGCGAGGCCTGTGACGGGAACCCAGCCTCAGTTACTCTTTCTCCAGCCCTGGACATCTGCGCAGCTGGGCCCCTCTCCAGTGCCTCCTCTGCCCTCACTCACTCAGCACGTTGCTTCCCCTGCCTCCTCTCTGACTTCATCTGTCCAGACTCCTAACTCAGACACTTTCTTCACCTGTCCTTCAGACTTCCCTCAACCATCACAGGCTGGCCCAGCTTTCCCACTGTCCTGACCCTGACAAGAGTGCAGAGAGAAAGCAAAGGAAGCCAAAGGAAGGAGCAGTGGCTGCTTGGGGTCTCATCTTGTGGGCTGGGAGGTAGCCCCGGGGCAACACTCAAGGTCTGAGCCCCCTTGCCCGGGCGGCACCATGCGGCCCTCCATTCTACCACTGGCCCAGCTGTCCCATTTCCCGCTATCCCACGGTCCAACCGTGTGGCTCTTATATGCACATGCTGTCCCACCTAGAGGGGGAAAAGAGAAAGGGAAAAAGGAGAATGTGTGTGGCTACCTTTGTGCCGGGCAGGGGCCCAGGAAGAGCCAGTGGTGTCTAAGGCCCCGAGGGAAGCAGGTGGCCTACTTAGGCATGGCTATTGCTAACACCTATGAAAAGCTGCACTGCTGACCTAGCCAGGAGAACTGGCGCCAGAACGAGGAACCTGCTCTGTGTCCCTGGAACAGACCAGCACACCCTGTCCTGGCCCAGTTTCCTGGTGTGCCTTTCCAGGGCTGGCATGCACCTGTGCCCTCCTATGGCCTTGGGGCCATGGTGACTGCACAGCAGTGCCTCCAGGACATGCCTGGCATGTGGCGTGAAGGGGGCATATGGAGGTGAGATGGCCAAGGGAACATCAGAGAAAGGCATTGGCGCAGGGTCTCTCAAGGGCACAGGACCAGGACTGGTGGGAAACCTGGAGTGTGAACTCACACACAGGGCTGCACAGGCCCCAGATGGCTGACATGACGACCCCTTTGGGAAGTCGCACAGCCTCCAGGGGTGCAGCCCTGGGGTTGGGGGACCAGCCTGGCCAATTCTCCAGGCTTGGTTCCCCTCTACAGGGATATGCTGTAGGATTATTTTGTGTTATCTGAAGTAAAATCCCGAAAACAGAAGCTTTCCAAACCTCAGAACACTTAGAAATTTAAAAATCTCTTCAAAAGCAGCACCCTGCCCACCCATCCACCCCCGTCACCTGCCCAGCAAAGACGGCCCTTGGCCTGAGCCAAGGAACCAACGCTGCCCAGGACGTGGCAGGGCTCGGGGCTGGGGAGTCCTGATCTTGAATGGTCAATGTTCTTTCACACAGTGATCGTACGCGATGAGCGGGGGACTGCAGCAGAGCGCCCTGCTCTTAAGCTCAGTTCCTGGTAAGATGAAGCTTATTTTGATGACTCTACAGCCTCTCCCCACGGTGACACAGTGCTAATAATGACCTGAAACACCTAAGAGCCTCAGCACTGCTACATTCAGGGGCCAAGGTCCCACCCTGTGGCGGCCACGTCCACCTGCCCCCACCTTGCTCGGGTGCCAGTCCCAGCATCTTGGCCAGAATCCACGCAGCAGAGGGGAAGCTTGAGGCATCCTAATGACTCTGTTCCCCAGGAAGAGAGTGTCTGGGCTCCCCCCAGAAGCCCTGTGGGGAGGCTGAGGCCCGGGGAGAAGCAGTGTGGGCTCCCTGGGGGCAGGCTCCCAAACTTCCAGTCAGAGCCAGTGGGAGAGCAGCGCCAGCGGCCAGCACTGCCCCCTAGTGGTCGAAGCCGGGAGACGTCCAGTAGGCGTCTTGCCTCCGGTCTGGGCAGAGGGGGCCACGGGACAGAGGGGCCTGGGTGAGCAGAGAAACAGGGAAGTGTGACCATGCAGCCTGGGGGAGCTCCGCGGTCTGCAGGTCCCTTCTGGGTTGGGGGTCTGGTCTTGATGGGGCAGAATCTCATCCCCAGGGAGAAGCTGCAGGGGTGGCCTGAGGCCTCATGCCCGTCTCACTGCTGGTGCTTCCTCCCCTCTCCACACACACCTCTCTCTGAAACATCTGAGGGTGAGTTGGAGACATTGCACCCCTTTATGCCCTGATACTTCATTTTGTACTTTCTAAAAATAGGGGCATTCTCTTAGTAATCAGTTAAGAAACCTGCCCAGATGGCTGCTCCAACCTGTCTCGAAAGCTGCACAGCCTCTAGGGGTGCAAAGGTTGAGGGGGTGTGAGACTGGCTAGGCCATCCTTTCTCTAGGCTTGGTCCTCCTCTACAGGAACATGGCAGAAGTTTCACAGGGCCATGGCATTATGACCTAACGCACAGTCCACAGGCACCTCCATCAGCTCTCCAGGCGTCCTTTATGGCCTGTTTCTCCTGCCTTGAGTCCATGATCCCACACGTCTTCCATGCCCCGGGTCTCCTCAGTCCTCAGCAGAATGCTCTCAACAGGACAGGCTGTATGTTTAGTGTCCCTCAGTCAGGATCTGTCCAAGACCTCATACTTGGAGTCAGGAGTGAGGCTGTCCCTCTCCCGTCCATTGGCCCACGATGTCTATCTGTCCCAGTGTCGGTAACGGAAGTTGATCCCTTGGAAGTGGTGTCCATGGGCTGCTGCACTGGAAAGTTACTGTCTTCCCTTCACAATAAGAACTTGGGAGATTTCTCATAAACAGCTTGTCCAGAATTTCAGCGCCCACTGATGACCTTCCCATGGTGTCATTCCCTTAACATCCTACTGCAGGTCACTGCAGGCTGATGTTCTATGTAAGAGTTTCCCTCTCTCCTTCCTTTCCTTGTCAGCTTATTTGCATCAGCATGAATGAAACTCCCTGTTTTAGTAGGCAAATTATAACTGTGACTTCATGATTGACTAGTCTGGATCTGGTCAGTGGGAGCCCTTTATGCTGGCTCCTACCCCTTTGTTATGTCTCTGCAGTGGTGGAACCGGCCTCTTACCCTGGTTCTTCTCTACAGAGCAAGTAGTTCAGGAATGTGATCTAGGCACTGGTTGTGTGCTCACCCACCCTGGGGAGCCACTGTTCCTTGGCTCCCAGTGGATGGAGCCAGGATGTGTGAACAACCCTCTCTTCAAAGTAACCCACGAGATTAACCTGGTGACTCCAAGCCCAATCTGTGCCCCAGAGGTACCTCAGCCCTCCCCACCACCGTTTCCCCCAGTTTCGGAAGCCTGGTGCCCACAACCTCTTCTCTGGGCACCCAACACACAGCTGGGCAATTACGAGTGGAGCCTGGATTGGGTGGGCCTGGTCTGGGCCAAGGGTTTCCTGTGCCTCCAATTTCTCACCCTAGGAGTGACCTCACCAAGGTCAAGGGACACCTAGACCTGGAAGGAGGTGGGACCCCGACAGCTGTGCAGAAACTACAAGACCCAGAGAGCTCCAAACACCCACCCTGGGAGAACAGCTGTGGGCCTCAAGTTGCTTCAGATCCCAGGCTGTCTGCCGAGGGATAAGTACTTCAACTTTAATTTCCACTCATTTGCAGGGTTTCTTTCTCTTTCGCTCAAAACAGGTGGGGTCAGTGAGTTATGTGAGGGCTGCTAACAAGGGAGCTATGAGGGCCACTGGGGCTGCAGCAAGCCCCTGGCAACACCTGGAACAGTTGTGGCCATGGCAGGAGAGCAGACACAGCTGGCAACTGCTGCCCAGTTGGGCCCAGAGCCTCTGGACTTGACTCCTGAGATATAGGACTGTGGAGATGTCTGAGGTTCCCGGGGACGGCACCCACCTACCGATGGCACAGAGGGTTCACTTTCCACTTCCTGTGCCCCACAGCTCAGACTCCCTCAGCCTCCCCCTCACCAGTCCCTAAAGACACAATTCACATGTTTGTCCCTGCCAAGGCACAGCAGCCTCCCTCGTGTTCACTGGGTCAGACAGCGTCCTGGGCTGCATATTCTCCCTTCGAAGCCCTTCACAGCCCCTGATAGTAGGTCCTGGAGGCGGGTCCCTCCTGTGTCCCTAAGTCACTCTCATAGCTTGGTTGGTGGGATAAGAGCCACTCTGCAGGGTGTGGGGTGGGTGGGGAATACAGTCAATGCTGTTTCTGCCCGGGGACTCTCAGCACCTTCCAGACATCATTTTATTGTCCCTAAAACCTTCTGCTTATGACTATCCCATCTGCAGACATAGGTAACACAGGTAACTGCAGGTCACTGCAGGAAACAGGTAACTGCAGGTCACTGCAGCAATCACAGACAATCACAGGTAACTGCAGGTCACCATCTGTGATTGCAGGTAACTGACAGATCTCAGGAGGTGTGTCACATGATGCCCTGTGACAAAAGCCATTCTTTGCAGCATTTCTATAATGGCATTCAGGAAGTGGGAAAGTAGCCTGTCTGGTAGGCATGTAGGGAAAATGTGCTGTGGTAGAACTCATGCCCTGGCTTGGGACCTTGGCCTAAACCCAACCATGGAACTGGAAGGGGACTGGGTGCCAAGGGCCTGACCAGAACCAGGACACTAGGTGGCCTGGTGGCCAATGCTCCAGGCAGTATCTCAAACACTCTGAGAAGCTTATGAGATCCACAGGGTCCACCCCTGGGGGTCCTCTGGAAGGAAAAGTCACCTTGTTATATCCATTTCAGGGCTTCCCAGGCCCTTGAAGCACATGGTCAAGGCCTCCTGTTCTAGAGGACATGGAATGGCCCCCTTCACGTGTGTAGGCTCCCTACATAGTTTTACATGAGGGGTCTCAGCGACCTGCAGGACAAGGGCGGGGTGGCAGCCCTTTATGGCATCTGCAGGGAACAGCCCAGACAAGGCCAGCCCAGCCAGGGAAGAAGAGGGAGGGTGGGGCGGGCTCCCCACTGGCCAAGACCACACCCCAGACCAGTCCTACACAGGATGCCAAGCACCACAGGGCACCCACCTCTCCTCCAACAGCTGCAGTATCTGAGGCCTTTGGCTGCTGCCTGCCGGCAGCGCCCCCACTTTCCTTCCAAGCTGACCCGAGATGCTTCTCCAGCTCGGCCACCTGCTTCTGCAGCTGCAGAGCCTCCAGGTGCACCTGGTCCAGCTCGTGGGGAAGCTCTCGCTGGATGGTGTCCACGTCCAGGGGTTCCTGCAGCACCTAAGAGGCCATTTTAGAGGCAATGTTAGGAAGGAGGCAGGCTCTGGGAGGGGGGCTGGAACAGATCAGCAGGGAGGACAGGGAAGCAGAAGAAGGGCAGCACTAGGTGGCAGAAAGTCCAGAAAGATCAGAAGGACACAGGCCGGTCAGCCTCCCCTCTCTGGCTTAATTCCAACCTCCATTAGACTGCACCCCTGCAACCAAGCCACTGCACTTCTGGTCCCACCTAATCAGGCTCCCCAGTGGCTTCACTCGTCACCCCCAGAGTGAAGATGTGGGCACCTGCAGCAAAGCCTACACTGAACCCAAAGGTGGCTGGGGAGAGTCTGTGCATGGAAATGTCTGGACGACAGGTCTTAAAACCCTCTCCCTGGGCCTGAGTCCCAGGTGGAGACAAAGGGCAAGTAACCATGGGCAGGGGTGGGAAGGCCCAAGCACATCAAACGACAGAAGAGGAGGAAGGGGCAGGAATGGAAGTCCCAGCCACACGAGCAGCCTGGGTCAGCTGCGGGGTGGCCAGGAGGTATGTGAGCAGAGTCCAGGCCAGAGCTCTGGGGCCACCCTGTCCTTCAGCTGCCTCTCTGGATGTCCACTCTCCCGGCATAAAGAGGGAAAGACAGGCAAAAAGAAAGACACACTTCTCTACACCCTCAACTTTCCCATTTTATTCTCAGGAAGATAAGATACCATCTTCCTATTCCAGAGGCTTCCACCAGGCTTCCACCTGGCGGCTCAGGTGGTAAAGAGTCTGCCTTAATGCAGGAGACCTGGGTTTAATCCCTGAGTCAGGAAGATTCCCCTGGAAAAGGGAACAGTAACCCACTCCAGTATTCTTGTCTGGAGAATTCCATGGAAAGAGGAGCCTGGCAGGTCACAGTTCATGGGATTGCAAAGAGTCAGACATTACTGAGTGACTAACACTTTCCTGTTCCAGGGACTTCTATAATGAGTTTGTAATGAATATTTTATTCTTTGTCACATACACTAAAAAAGGTGATCATCTGATAAACAAATACTGTTAAGTAAAAAACAAATAGAAAACACTTTAGGGTAGACTTTTACCCTCAGGATAATCAAATCGTCTGTGATTACCAAAACAAAATTAAAAGTTCTTATTTATATATTTATATCCTGTTTGTAGCTTGTGGGGCGTGTGAAATCCTCACAGTGGGGCAGAACTGGGAAAGGGCACAGATCTGAAGGCCCCCTCCCCTCGTATGTGACACAAGTCTGCAATCCCAGAAAGAGAAAAGCGGTCAAGTTCATCTCCACTGCAACAGCACAACTGCTCTTCAGTCAAGATAAGGCATCTGATTTCCAGGCACTGCCTGCCCCCCAGAGGAGACAGAAAGCTCCGAGCAATGTCCGTCACTAGTCAGGAGTTCTGTTCCACAGAAGATGCAGTCTGCAGGATGGTGTAACCTACACACTTACAGACTTGAAAGGACATGGGAAAATGGCCCCAGGGGAAAGAAACATCACAAGGCAACACGGACGTGTGACACCACCAACACCAGCAGTAAGAGCTGTGCTCCCAGGGACGTCATCGAGACCATGAAAAGGTAAGTCAGGGAATGGGAGGCAAAGTCTGCAAATCACGTATGTGACCAGAGACTTGAACCCAGAAAATACCAAGAACTCTGACAATTCAACGAGATGACCAACAGCCCAATTAAAAGTGGGCTGAGGATACTCATGGACATTTCTTCAAAAAAGACACACAAATGGCTGATAAGCACACGAACACATGCTCAACGTCATTTTTTATCAGTTCAGTTCAGTTGTTCGTCATGTCTGACTCTTTGCCGCCCCATTTCTTTTATCAAGAAAATGCAAATGGGCCACAGTGAGGTCCACCTCAAAACTGCTAGGATGGCTAGAGTCAAAAAGACAGAAAGCAGCTGCTACAGGTGAGGACATGAGACATGGGGGCCCGTGTGCACCTTCTGGGAGTGGAAAGTGTGCAGCCACTGCGGAAATGTTTAGTGGTTCTCCAGAAAGTTGAATGTAGAATTACCCTGTGACCAGGGATTCCACTCCTTTACGTCTACCTGGAAGAACTGAAACAGGCACTTGGACAGATAGGAGTCCATCACATTGGCAGCAGCCAAACGGCGGAAACAACCCAAGTGTCCAGCAGATGAGTGGGTACACCGAATGTGGGGTTCTTAAGAGGAAGTTCCGACCCCCGCTACAACATGGATGAACCCTGAGGACATTGTGCTGAGTGAAAGCAGCCAGTCACAGAACAAATACTGAGTGATTTCACTCATAGGAGGCTCCCGGAGGAGAGGGCTTCACAAAGGTGAAAGAGTAGAACCAGGGGCTGGCGGCAGGAAACAGGGAGTTAAGTGTTCAATGGGGACAGAGTTTCTGTTCAAACGATAAAAACGTCCTATTGGGAATAGACCCTGGTGATGGTTACACAATACTGTGAATATACTTAACGTTACTGAATTGTAAACACAAAAATGCCAAATTTGTTATGTATATTTTACCAGAATTAAAAAAAAAAAAAAAACACTAATCAAAAGAGGTATCACGAGATAACAGCAATAAAGCACAGGCTGGGTCACCAGTCCCAGGTGCCAGGGTGGAGCTGCACTGGAGTTTGTCCAGTTGTCCCTCCTCCACAGGAAGGAGTTGGTCAGCCCAGCGCCTGGTTACAACCTGTTCCCCAGAAGGCAGGGCCAAGAGGACAGAAAGGGCCTGCACTGGGTGAAGCATCTAGAGTCACAGACGGTGGTGACGAGCACATGCTCTTGCCACAGCTCGGTACCTGGGTTTAATGTGGGTCCCTGGACTTGCTCAGCACATCCTGGGTGGGCAGAAACAAGGCCCTGCGTGTCAACGGCCAGCACTGTCCCTCCTGCCCTGGACTCCCCTCTATCGTCTACCAGATCCTCACCATGTGCCTTCCAGGGACATATGAGAGGTGAACCAGCTATTCCCAACAATAACCCTGTCCTCACAGGGAACTGGAGGCACAGAGAGGCCACAGCAGATTCCTGGGGCTCACTGCCACCCCAGCAGGGCCCTCAGTTGGAAGACCTACATAGTCGAGCGTCAGAGGGTGACCATACCTTCTGTCTCAGTCGTGCCACCAGGAAGCTCAGGAGATGTGATCTGTCTCCAAGCCTCCTGAGTGCCAGTCCCATGGATGCTCTATCAACTGGCACAGTTCCTCCTGCAGAAAAAGTGATTTTGTCAGACTCACATTCCTATAGTCCTGGGGGAGCTTCCAATTGCCTGCTGTTGCCCTGGGGAGGACATCTGTGGCGTCCAGGACAGAGGTGCGTAGGTATGTTCTTCTCTGCCCTCCTCCAAGGATGGCCACTTGTCACTGCTGGTCCACTGGGATGCTGAAGACTTTCTAAAGCTAAGTGGATGCAGTTGGGTGCCCACAAGGACTGAGATGAGATGCACATGAAGAACAACTTTTATACCAAGAAAGTAGGAGTCTTTGCAGAAGAAAAATACAACTTTACCAGCCAGTGTCTGTTAGAGGCCGACCTATGTTGACTCCTAGTCATTTGGCTAGCAATAACGAAAATGTCCAACAATCCACAGATCAAAGAAGAAATCACAATGGATATTAGAAATTACTTTGAACCGAATTACCATCAAAGCACAGCTTATCAAAACTTAAGGAATGCATCTAAAGCTGTCCTTTCAAAAGTATTTATAGCCATAGAAGATTTTTTTTAGAAAAGAAAGATGAAAGATAAATGAGCTGAATGTCCATTTCAAAAATGAGGAAAAAAGCAAATAAGGTAGAAGAAAGGACAGGATAAGCCAGTAATAGATGCTAAGGAAACACAAAACAATGTGTAATAGAGGATGACACAACACTCAAAACATCCATGACAGAATTCAAAATCACTCGTTATACCAACAACAAGGAAAATTGTACCTTGAATGATAAAAGACAATAACAAGATGACAGATTAAAGCAGTTCCAACAGGCAATATGATACACTCTCAAAACAAATGGAATATTGGAAGTTTCAGCCAAGGTGTGAAAAAAAATTTTTTTTTTAATGGAAATTTTAGAACCGAAACCATAATAAGAGTCTCACTAGATGGGCTCAACAGAAGAAAGAATTAGTGAACTTGAAGAAAAAACAGAAATTTTCCAGTCTGAATAATACAGAAAACAGACTGGAAACAGACAGAGCCTCAGTGACCTGGGGGAGAAAAACAAAAGTTCTAATACTCTTGTCATTGGAGTCCAAAAAGGAAGGACAGCGTGGAGCTAAAAAAAAATACTTGAAGAAGTAATGGTTGAAAACTCCTCAAATTTGGTTCAGTTTCAATGCCAAAAGGATAAGCCAAGGAAATCTATGCCCAGACCATCATAATCAGATTTCTGAAACTAAAGACAAACTTTGAAAGCAGGCAGAGAGAAATGATTCAAAGGCAATAGACTTCTCATCAGAAACAATCATCTGATTTCTCCCCAGAAGAAAATGGTTTAAGTGCTGAAAGCAAAGAACCGTAAACTCATAATTTTATATCAGTGAGTATACTCTTCAGGGATGAAGGTGAAACAAAGACATCTCGGAGGTAGGAAAACCTTGTGAGTTTGTCACCAGCAGCCTTGCTAAAAACAATCTGCCGAAACAAGTGCTTCAGACAGAAGGAACCTAGAATCAAGAAAGAGTCACAGAAAGGATAAGGATTCAAGGAAAGAATGGACCATGCCTCTCCTCCTGAGTTTTTAAAATTATGTTTGAGAGTTGAAAGCAAAAATGAGAATCCTGTCTGATGTGGTTCTCGATGTACAGAGGGGTGGTATTTGCAACAAGAAATGGGGTGATGAGGCCTGACAGGTGGTAAGATCCCCATATTCCACTTGAAATTGCAAAGTGCTGACACTCGTTGACCATGATAAGTAAGTATACTGTAATTCCTGGGGAAAACACTAGAAAAAGTACCTAAAGAGACTGAAAAACCAGATTAAAATAGAACATCAAGTAACCCAGTGGAGGCAGAATCATGACAAAAAACACAGATTTGTATTACAATAGGAATAGGAAGACATTTCCTTAATCTGACACAAAAAAGTAATGATTCAACTTTAAAGTGTTGAAAATTCTTCTTTGGGATCAGGAGGAAAGTCAGCTATGATCAACATCATACTAAAGAGTTCAATCAGGGGGAAATAACATGAGGAAATAAAAGTAAAAGGTATCAGCATTGGAAAAGCCAAAAGTAAGACTTCCATTACCTGCGACAAGATGACTATGTAGGCAGTGTCCTGCCTGCCTTTTCCTTTCCTTCCTCAGCAATCAAGCCCATAAATCATCAGATGGGCGGCTGGAAGTTACCCTCCGGGGCTAACCTGCCTGAGAGCTGCAACCCAGCTGGCGAGGGAGTCAGGATGAAGGGCAGCCTGGCTCGGCTGTCAGAGCCAGGATGGGCCTGGGTCAAAGGGTGGGGCCTCTATGTGGGAAAAGGCCTCCGTCTGTGCAAGGGAGGGTACTCACACCCAAGAACTGGATGGAAGAAGTAACGTACGAGGACAAGGAGTCAGGCTTCTCGTTGGAAAAGGATGTTAAGAGAAATGGAAGTGGAGACCAGAACAAGCCTCTAAGACTGGACCAACCATAGAGGAACAGACTGATGAATAAATCTGTCTTACACTATGAATTTTTGTTGCCTTAGGAGATGGATCCAAAAAAATACTGCTAAGGTTTATGCAGAGGGTTCTGCCTATAAGTTTTCTTCTAGGAGTTTTATGATTTCTGGCCTCACATTTAGGTCTTTAATCCATTTTGAGCTTATTTTTATATGTGGTGTTAGAGAATGTTCTAATTTTGGTATTTTACATGTAGCTAGCTGTCCAGTCTTCCCAGGACCACTTATTGAAGAGACTTTCTTTTCCCCATTGCATATGCTTACTCCTTGATCACAGAATGAAATTTGGCCATTTGCAACAACATGGATGGACCAGAAGGGCATTATGCTCAGTAAAAAAAGTTAGAGAAAGACAAACACAGTATAATGTCTATGGGTGGAATCTAAAAAATATAACTAGTGAATATAACAAAAAAGAAACAGACTCACAGACATAGAGAACAAACTAACGCTTAATGTGGGGAAAGGGAAGCAGGGAGGGGTGAGATAACGGTAGAGGATTGAGAAGTACAAACCATTATGTATAAAATAAGTAAGATACAAGGACATACTGCACATGAGATGGCTCACTGTGCTGTGGTGGCAGGAGAGCAACGGCTCTCTCAGCTGCTAATTGGGGGAGGAAATGATGTGAACAGTTCGGTCTGACCATCAACCAAAACATACTGCTGCTCAAAAGAAGTCAGACGAGAATCAGTTCAGTTCAGTTCAGTCACTCAGTCGTGTCCGACTCTGAGATCCCATGAATCGCAGCACGCCAGGCCTCCCTGTCCATCACAAACTCCCGGAGTTGACTCAAACTCATGCCCATCGAGTCGGTGATGCCATCCAGCCATCTCATCCTCTGTCGTCCCCTTCTCCTCCTGCCCCCAATCCCTCCCAGCATCAGGGTCTTTTCCAATGAGTCAACTCTTCGCATGAGGTGGCCAAAGTATTGGAGTTTCAGCTTCAGCATCAGTCCTTCCAATGAACACCCAGGACTGATCTCCTTTAGGA